TGACCTGTACTTCCCTAGTGGCTGAAGTAGTATTTTGAGTTTAGCCATTTAAAAAAAGGAATTGACAGATATTATTAACTAAAGAGAATGGCTTTACACAGCACATAAAAACCATTTGTTAGACTGTTTCTCACACTCTCCTCTTCTACCCTCCATCTGTACATTTAGGCCTCAATTCTATAAAAACATACACATGTAAGCACTTCAGGGCAGGACCCCATTTTTCAGCATGTCTGAAACAGTTCAGTGCTAATTAATAACATCTTTCTACACTTGCCATCTTCAGATGAGTGGTGGAGTCATGAACGTGGATCTGAAATACTCATCTGAAGTCACAAAATTTCTCATCCATGTCTGGTTTCCCTTGATAACCATTCTTTTCTGCCTCTCCCTCCTGTCATCTATCTCCCAAACACTCTTACCCTGGACCTTCACATCCTTGAAACTGTATCCTATTGAATGCTTTATGTACAAGGCTCAGTGTCTGATGAGGTGTAGTAGGTGTGGGCTTGGAGCATATCAGCAGTGACCAAACTGATGACAAAATTCTCTGCTGGAATAACTCCAATCTAGCAAACCAAGCAACTCTGGCAGGGAGTTTGGCCTTAACTGTCTCTAGAAAACTGGACATCTGAAAGAAGCATGGCAGCCTCCAAAGGATATCAGGAAAATTTAGCTAGATAGATTGCAAAGGAAAATGTACCCAGCTGTGGAAATGGAGTATGATGATGCCCTTGTCTCAGTTTATCCCCAGGAAACCACTTTCTTTTCATCCTAGATTAATTCAGCATTATGCACCATTACCTTCAGATTACTCAAGCAAAACCAGCACCAATAAACCATAATTAAATCCATTCTTTGGCTCAGACACATCAGACTGACTAAACCAATCAATTTGCATATAGATTACCTTGCTATTTGTCTGCTTTGAAGGATTCATTACAGTGATACAATCAGCTCCCAGACTAGTGAGTATACTCCCTCATAGATCAAATGCTAGCAGTATATCTAATAATATTCAAAATTTCTATGAAATAAAATAAAAATGAACCAACAAAGTGATGAACGGGCCCTTCTTGCTAATGGAGGAGGGCCTCTCTTTGACTTTGGAAGACTTTTAACTTAATGCCATGAAAGGAATGACAGTGGTTGTGGGATTGGGATGACTTGACATTGAGACAACATGCCCACCTCAAAAGCACTCCTAGATACTTACTGAAGGAGGAAGAAAGGAGAGTCACCGCTCTGTAGTAATGTGTGGTGTAAAGGTGCTAGCCTAAATTGTGCAGAACACCCTCAACTTATTTGTTTTGTTACAGGTGCGAGAGGTAATTTATTTTTGTGGAGGAGGGTTAGGAGGCAAAAGCTTTATCTTCATTTTGTCCCTCTGAGCAGACATTACAGTCAGCAAGGTGGTTTGGAAAGCAGTTCCACTGTGAACCTTATTTTACTTTCTATTACCGGCTGCCAGGTGATAGGAAAAGAAAAACATTGGCCTTGTGTGGCTGCAGGTTGAGATGAAGAGTCCTTCTTACAGAGCTGGCTGTTCACCTCCTTTCTCTTGTTTGTACAGGAAATCAGGACAGTTTTCTTGGACCATAATATTAGCATGCTCTAGCCACAACTAGGTGGCTAGAGGTGTTCAGGGTTTTTTGGTTGAATAAGGTATCCCTTTTTATATAAAATTAAATGAGCCAGTAGTCAGATATGAGGATGCAACACATCCGATTTCTAAAGGGAAAAGATCTGTTTGCACAGATGTTAAGGGAAAGGGTGGAGCACTTTCACTGTGTTGAGTATACTTCACTAAGCAGATAGGAAACATCTGAATCTTACAGGGGCAGCCCCCAAAAGGGGCTTGTGTTCTTTTGAGGCTCTAATTTTTAATAGGTTAAATATATTTTTGTTATGTACAAAATAAAGGGCGGTCAGATGGGATTCCTGGCTCAGGTACCAAAAGCCTGTTCCAGCAGTTCAGCTTCCTTTTACAGAAGGCTATAGCCTAGCACAGACCAAATGCATAAGGAAAAATAATCTTAAGTTTTAGAGTTCCCCAAATGCCTAAGGATGCTTTCTCTGCTACTAAGGGTATGCCAGAACCCACTCCCCAGCCTGCACTTTCTTAGACATCCAAAAAGATACCAGTTTCAGTTTATGGCTCAGGGATTAGATAGAGGCATTTCAATATAACTTTAGCTTTCTGGTAGATGCTGATTAGCCACCTGTGCTCCTCTCAGCAAGTCTCAGCTGGGCTTGTCTCTGTCTAATAGTAGCTGGCATTAGGAAGCAGCTGTCTGTCCTACAGCCTCAGCCCCTCCCGAATTATCCTGAAAGCAGTCTCCTGAATGTGCTAAGCACAGTAATGGACGATAGAAGCCCTTGAGAAATCTCAGTCATGCAACCTTTTCCTCCACTATCACTGGAGACATCTTGATGGTTCACAAAAGGAGAGGAAAAACACCAACTTGGGTGGATTCTTCTTTGATCTGGGCTGCAGCATATCTAAAACCAGTAAGTGGAAGGAATGATAGGTAAGCTGCATTTACAGTGCATCATGGTTCTACCAGAACATGGTTTTGCAGAGACAAGAGGTTAATCTGAAAGGACTTTAGGTTATGTCTACATTGCAATACCAAAGTGTGACAGAAGCATGTGCCTCCGCTGACTTAAACAACCTGGTTTGGGAACCGATAACAATGCAGCTGCCAGTATCACAGCATTCCAGCTGCATAACGTACCCAAAACCCTGGGTAAATCTTTAGGTGGTAACCCAAGCTGAGACTCATGCTGGCACTGCTATGTTCTTATTGATACCTGAATGAGTTGGTTTACACTTCACTTGGGTTTATCCACACACAGCAAAATTGCACCTCTGTTGTTTCCTGCACCTCTGCTGTTTACCATGGGCTACTCTGCTAACTAACTACAAAGAACCATTTCCAGACTGGGGAGTGCAGAAACAAAACTAGGGCTCTGTTGTGGGGATACCATGACTATGGTTCCAATTGTCCAAGTTAATGGTGTAGTTATGACATGCCCCGACAGGTTAATGCTAGTGTCTTGTAACTACTGCACGTGTTCCTTTCTGATAATTTATCCTAGGGACTTTATTCTCAAAGCATGGCAGGATGAGAGAGATCTCATGCTGAGATTAAGTGATGACCCTTAAGGCTAGTTGGTTCTTCTCTGGCAACTCGGTTCACGTTTTCTTCAGCAGGAGAATCTGCCTAAAAAGCTTTCACAAGGAAACAAAAGACAGGCTGTTCACTAGTATACATGTTGCAAGTGTCCCCAGCTCTATGCCTTCAAATACTATGACCATCTACACAATCATAAAATAATACTGCTTTATTTCTTTTCCCCTCAGTCCCCAGAAACCAGGAACTACTACATCCTCACCCAAACTAGCTGAAGGTCAAACAGGTCTTTTTTTTTCTATGAAAGGTGTGTGTAATTTTTTAAAAGAATAATTATTCCAGGCTGTTATATAGACTTACCTTAATTGGTTAAGACTCTGAAATAAACTAAAGAAATCATATCATACCTTTTTAACAAAAAAATGAAGTAACTTTGCCTAAGGTGTTTTTGGAAAACTGAATTATTTGAACTGTTGAACAGTATTAATCATAAATCTGCTTACACAAAATCAGTCTGACTCCCTGATTCCTATTAGTTGCATCTATTTGGTCACAAGCAAACTAAACAGGCAAACATTTGAAATGAGACAGATTTTTCTTTTTGTATGAGTCTAGTAAATGCAGTTATAACCAGAAAAAAGGCATCAGAAATATCTGCTCCTTCCTATTGTTTGGATTTCTATATTTTGCTTATACACAGTTCTTGTTAGTCTCACAGATACATTAAATATAGCTGTAGAAGAGGAATCCATATCTTTTTTCTCACATACAACTATGCCACCAGATACAATCCAATTCTGGAATCTCCATTCCTGATCACTAGGAACCCATGTCCAGTTAAGGCAAATTAACATTTTAGACATACAATGTTCTAGACCTCACAGCTCTCTGTCCCTTCACCATGGGTTCAAATCCACCCCTTGGGCCATGTCCAGACAAGTGTGGCCATGTGGTATGTGGTGCCGCAGGCACATGTGTGGCACCACATAACACAGATTCAGGTGTTCTCTGTGCTGCAAGGGAGGTGTGTGTGTGGGTGGAGGGGGACTGATCCGTGGACATTCAGGGGTCAAAAATACCCATGGTGGAAAAAAAAGAGTAGTGCAAAAGGCGGCAGTGTGCACCACTCAAAACCAGAGTCAGGCCATCTAGAGCTGCGTTCTAGCTGCCAGCCAGGCTCCAAATAGTGGCTCCCAGGACCCCCATTGGAACACCCACCCCTGGCTCCCGGATAAGACTGTAGGGGCCAGCCCAGTGCTGGTCCCAGCCTCCCCTACCCCACCTGGGGTAATTTGCTACATGCCAGAGGGTGCATGACAGGTGTTCCCCGGGGGAGAAATAGCACTGGGCCAAGGTGCACTGCTGCTAGTTGTCCCCAGGGAGCCAAATGCCTAGGCTTGTGTGGATGTGGCCTTGGAGTACTGGGGGCATTTCCTTCAGGAGGGAAATAGGCAGTATTGGATCCTAACGCTCCCCATCTGGAATGTTCCTGATGGGACATAGTATTTACTCCAGTGCCTGGTGTTTAGCTAACAAATGCATGAGCCAGGTGCACCAGATTTTTCTCCCCTAGCCACAAGAGTTAAAGCATGTTTGTAAAAGTGTGCCATCTCTTAGTACTTTCTCCAGGATGCTGAGCATCAGATAAAGGGACCCAGTTCAACAAGTTAATGGGACTACTTATATTTGAAGCCAAGTGCATTGCAAAGGCACCTTGCTGAAAAATGTCAAAGCTAACAAGAGTTGAGAGCATGCGGTACTATGTCTCTTGCAAGATCAGGCACAGAATCATGAGACTGAACATGATGATAAATGAAAGCAGCTAGAACACACGTTTACAAAATAGATTTTTCATGTAAATACCTTTAAGACAAAGCAGTGGTCCGTAGGAGCCTTGTATTTCACTCTGTACTGAGTACCATAGTAAATGTTAACGTTCTCAAACTGTATAAAGCAGGCCAAATCCCGAGATGTCTAAAAAGGAAAAACCAAACATACTGTTGTGAGGAATTAAAAGGTTAAAACTTGGATGCCAGGCATACTTTCAGACCTGTTTTCAAACTGTTTTGATACTGCTGTTTGTTTCAAGTGTGGACTTTATTGATGCATGACATTTTTAAACCTAAGCTTGCTTATATTTCAGTGAACTTTATAACGAGCAGGAAAAGTGCATTGTGCTGTATGAAAATATTTCACTAGAATTTCCAGTTTTTCATGTTTTACTACCATCTCTGGTTTTTCTTGCAAGATCAGTAACAGTGCTACTAACTAAGGGAAACTGAACAGAGTGGTTGTCTAGTAGGGAATATTTTTAATTTAGTAATACAGCTGTAGCCCTCCCAAGCCTGCTCTTGCAATTCTAAGCTGGGAAATAGATGTGGGGATCTCCTTAACTTTATTTCTAAGGAACCACTTTCCTGAGAGATGTATAGAAAATGTGTGCAAATGTATACACACTAGTAAACAAACACTGATCTCATCTGCTCCCACTTCAAATTGTCTCCAAGGCAGATATTTTTCTTCTTCTTTCCACTCCCACCTGTCTACCTACAACATGGTTTACCTGTTATTTTTTCTTAATGTGTTGCTGTAATGACAATGTATCTGTTGCTGGCATGTTTTTTCTGTGCCAAGGTGTTCTGGGTACAGCATATAACCACTTCACACTCTTTATATATATACATCCAAAGAGAGTCCAATTCTCAGCTTTTTCTTTTTAAATGCACTACCAGGGGTAGGCAACCCCTGGCATGGGTGCCAGAGTGTGGCACATGAAGACATTTTGCTTGGCACATGCACCTTGGGGAGGATGGTGGGGAAGGGGCTGGGGCTGCACTGCCACAACAAGGATTGGGCCCCTTGCAGCTCCCCCACCATCCATCCTGGCACTCCAACATCTTACAAGTTGGGGTTGCGGGTGTTTTTGGCACTCTGCCCAAAAATGTTGCTGACCCCTACATTAATAGTTTAGTGTCTAATTAGTGTACTAATATTATCATGTTTGTTTGTTGCTTTGATCATTAAGAGACTTATTGGGTCCAATTTAGTCCTAGTATTTGTGAACACTGTCATTAAGTGGTGACTTCAGCAAAATGCCTGAGAAGGGGCTAACAGGAAATCCTAAGTATAGACCGTTCCCCATCCTATCACTCCACTGAAGCTGATGGAAGCTTAATTGATTTCAATGGAGCTAGGATTTAATGTGGAGATTTCAACACTGCAAGACACCAAATGCATTAAAATCAATGAGATTACAAGGCAGTTTTTGTTTCCTTTTAGGAATCAATTCATGGCAACTAAGAACAATTGAGATGCAATTATTTAAAGGAAGTTGTTTGCTGAGGGAATTATAATGTAAGAGAACCACAAGTCATTTATTGCAAGTATTTTTGCAATGCCATGAATGTTATTTCTATTGGATGATCAGAAAGGAAACAAGACCCCAGTCATTTCACTGAAAGGAAAATATTTTGTTTTAAACAGGTACTGTGTTTGTGTGTGTGTATGAAATTCTGGTGCTGCTGTTTTCTTGAACTCTCTGTGAATATTGCTTTTCATGTGATGAAGAATGGGACAGAAGTAGAGTAACTTTTAAGGGAAAGGTCTGGTAAGGAAATCGTGAAGCAATTAGGCTCGAGAACTTTTTTTCAAGTGTTGGTGCCCAATCTGCATGCAAAAAACCCAGCTGGGTCATGAGGCGCTACAGGGATTTGGGAGCGGGGCACAGGGGGTGTTCTCGTCGATCCTCCCAGTCTTGGGCTATGGGCTGAGGACGGAGAGGAGGATCCACGTAGTTAACCAAAGACTGGGGCGCTGGTGTCATCAGGAAGGCTTTGGCTTCCACGACCACAGCTCGCTCTTTGGTGAGAGAGGCAGCGAGCTACTGGGAAGAGATGTCCTCCACCTCTCTCCGCTGGAGAGGAGGCTCTTCTCAGGTCTGGCTGACATGCTCCACCTGGCTTTAAACTAAGCCCACTGGGGAACAGGGGGCACTACCGCCACTGCTGGCCCACTGAGCAACCCT